ATCGATATTGTCATACCACAATGTTGGAGGAGTGGTGAGAGAGAGACCCAGCTCACCAATTAAAGGTTGTAACCATGGGAGTTCAACAATTGTAGAGGCAAGAGAGTGATGGTTAAATACTACAATATACCTGCAATGCACCTATATTTCAATGGATTAGGGAGAACTGAACTAGATGCACAAGTTAGAGTGGTAGCTAGAAGGAGACATGGGTGCTTGGATAGCCTTACACTCAGCCACTTCAATCCGTTGAAGAAGATCCCTAGTGTATTTTTGTTGATCGAGAAACATGCCCATAGAATTATAGGTGGCTTCAATGCTTAAGAAGTAATTGAGCTGACCAAGGTCCAATAAAGCAAATGTAAAACCAAGGGAATGTAAGAGAGAGTTAATTGGTGAAGTGTCATTACCCATGATTAGAAAATCATCAACGTACACCACAAAAATAGGAGTTCACATCTCCGCCCCACAACACATCCGTGTCGTGTATTGGGAACATCTCTCGATGATAGTACTAGTCTTGATGATGTCATCATCGAGGGATGTTCTCAATACACGGCGGGGATGTATTGAGGGGCGGACCCTTGTGGGGCGGAGATGTGATCTCCAAAAGTAGATGAGAGTGCCTCAATTGCAATAAATAAAGAGTGAAGAATCAGTTTTAGATCCAACAAATTTGTGGGCTTGAAAAAAAAAGCTATTGAGACACTGGAACCAAACTCATGGGTTTTGTTTCAACCCATAGAGTGAGTATTTAAACAAGTAGACATGGGTTGGGTATTGAGGATCCACAAACTTGGGTCGGGACATATAAACCTTGTAATCAAAGTAGCCATGTAAAAGGCATTGTGTACATCTAATTGTCACATTGTCTAATTTTGTGAGAGAGCAATGGGAAGAATGTGTCAAATTGTTACAAGCTTTACAACCAGACTAAATGTTTCTTTGTAATCAACTCCCTCTTTTTTCATGAGACCTTTGGCCATGAGATGGACTTTAGAACACTCCATTGTACCATCTGGATTATGATACCCAAGTGCTGCATTGTCCAATTTAAGTTATGATGAGGGTTTAGAGTAACCAATGCCTAAGTGTCATTCTTGATAAGAGCATTGAATGCATTGGTCATGGCTTGACTCCATTGTAGATCTAATGACCATAAGATGACATCGATTGGGGGATGAAGGCACTACAATGTTTGACGATGGAGAGGATAGTGTAGAAGTGTTTTTAAGGGGCAGTAGATGTAGAGGAGTGGCTATTTATTGTGGATCTTAGAAGTTGACAATTGTTGGCATATTGCTAGTGGGGTTGTACCCCAAAAAAATGCATTATTTAGACTTGGTCTCTAGTTTGTTCTTGGTATATGGCCGCAACCAAGGATAAACTACATACCCAAAAACATTTAGAAATGTGTAATTAGGAGCTTAGTGAAAAAGGCACTCATATGGAGATAAATTACCAATGGACTTCATGAAAGTCGAGTAATAAGGTATGCAGAAATTGTAAATGCATATTACCAAAATGTAGATTGAAGACCATCATTGTGAAGTAGGGCCAAACAAGATTCAACAATATGGTGACGCTTGCGGTTTACTAACCCATTTTGTTCATGGTTATAGGGGGCAGGAAACCATATGTACATAATCCAATCCGATTGAAGAGATTTGATTTTACAATCAGAGTAATTTTCAATTAGACATTTGAACCTCATAAATACATGGAGAACACCAGATTTCTGTGAGAAGGGAATATCCAAGTATATTTAAAAGAGTCATCCATAAACTAAACATAATAATGGAAACCGTCCACTGAGGCAATAGGGGCTGGCCCCTAAACATCTAAAAACAACTATAATGGTGCAATAATCTTAATAGAACAAGATTGAAGAGAAACACGTATGGTGACTTTCTTTGGTTTGACATGCAACATAAAGAGATCTATCCAATTTATTCATGCAAGGTAATCCATATTGATTGAGAACATCCTTATGTTGGTGGAGGGATGTCCTAGCTGATGATGCCATTGAGTGTAGGTCATATGTTCACCAATCATTACCATCCAATGAGACTTATTGGTGGAGAGAGAACATGATTTACTGTGAGTAGGAGCAAGCTATTCCTACTCAGGCCTCAAACTAGCTCATCCCCATCTTCGATCCTTGATGATCACAAAATGAGTAAGATGAAACTCAAAAACAACATTATTATCTTGTGTAATTTAACTGATAGATAAGAGATTTTTCTTTATTCAAGAAACAAGAAGAACGTCTTTCATTATATATATAGGGGTAAGAACTAGAGAAACACTAGGAAGAACCAACAAGGGGTGTGCAAACATGTCTCATAACCGATTGAAAATTGTTTCAGACCTTGATTTTCACAATGAAGGGACAGTTTGACATGTCCAGTTACATGATTTAAAGTGCCCGATTTAGGTACTACACATTTTCGAAGGTACTAAAACGAGGAGCAGTAGCCAAATTGGATGTCATTTCGCCGACGATCACATGGTTGAAACGCTGTGGACTATGTAGAGCCTTATGTCTTCTAGGCTGATTGGAGAGTTGACAGTGGGTACATGGATATTGAGATCCACCTCCATGATTATAATTTGAGTCTTGACTATTGTCTTTGTGGCCTTTTTCATTACCATGCATGATTCTAATCATTGTGCTGATTTGGATGCTAACCTTTGCCTTGATGTTTGTAGTTAAATGTCCTACTGTTTGCCCTTATAATTATTATTGTTACCATAGTTCAAACCTTGATAAAACTTTGTAGCTGCATTAACTGATGGTGTTTGCAGGTCTGAGTTGTGAGGTTGAAGATCATTCAAATGAATTTCTTGACTAAGAAGTATATGCCATAGAATTCATTAAATGAAAGAGGATCCACTACTCTTATAGTGAAAGATGTGGCAAATGGTCCATACTCAAGACAAATGCCTCCTAGAGCGGTCAAAATGAGATCTTCATTAAACAAATTGGCTTGTCTATTATTTTAAGATTATCAACAATGATACATACATTCTTAAAAGTATTTTAGTACAACTAGTAGATCTTCCCCTGAGATTTTCTATTTAAAGTCTCAACTTTTGAACCCTCACACGAGGGGAGGAATAGTTTCGGGTAAGTTTTTGCTATACATCATAAGATGTAGTGCAATTAACAACATGTGTCATAGTGGATTCAGTGGCGGAGGCAATGATCTAATTTAGTAATTTAGGACCCATTTGATCATTTTGTTGCCAAATAATATATTGACTTTCACTATGTTAGTTCTAGAAATTAGAGAGTTCCTAATATATTGAGGAGGGTAGGGATCCATACTTCTATCAATGTATCCCAATAGTTGATGAAGTCTGAAAATAGACATGAGCCGAGCCTTCCATTGGTTAGAGTTGTTTCATTCAACTTGATGGGAAGAAGATGTGCATTATAACCATCCATTGGTTAGAGGTGCATGCAAAATTCCTTCAGAGTATATGGAGTTATTATCTCAGCATGACAATCTCTCCTTTTTGACCCCCTATGATGCATGGGAAAAATATGTTAGGGCTTAAAACTTATTGCTCGTAGGGATGGCAATTTTTCCCCATCCTCGTTGAGTACACGACCTACTCAACTAGGTAGGGATGGGGATGGAGACTGCCTTAGCAAGGACAGGGTGGGTGGGATTAATAGGAAAACCCGATTGGGGATAGGGAGTGAAGTCCACACCCTGCCCTGACCTTGATTCTATATATTCAATATATGTGTATATGTTATATTAAATACATAATATTATTTATTTTATATATATCAAAATGCATTTAAAATATTATTTGTATTCTAAATTTTCTTTTATTTTAAATAGATACCTTTCTAAAAAATAAACTTTTAATTAAAAAATTTGGAGATTCAAGTCCTTAATGGGGAACCCCTCTTCGTCAGGGGCAAGGGATGTAGGCTAAATTTTTTTCCCGACAAGGATAGGGGTCAGAGGCGGGGATTAATTTAAAACTTAGGATCAGCATGGGGAGTGTGATCCTTGTTCCGAAGCCCTGCCCATTGCCATTCCTACTCAGATGGTCATCACCCGAACCCATAATGCCCCCAAACCCATAAATATAGTTCCAATAATTATGGTAATCATAAATGTAGTATCCAATACTTAAGGAAATTATTAAAATTTTCCAATTATTTATTTATTGAAATTATTTTTCCATTGAAAAATTACTGAACTAATTTAATTATTATCTGATAATATCATTAAATATTAATAAATTGACAAAAACTACTGAAAACATCAATAATTACTTATTGCTAAAAATTTACTGATAATATCAAAATTACTGAATATGTAAAAAGTAAATTTATATCCATTGAAATAAAATTTCCAATGAAAAATTACCAATAATTTTTAATTATTAAATTTGTATTTATTAAAATTTGAATTATTTATTAATTAAAATATACCAAAAGTTGCAATAATTTGCAATGATTTTTATAATTTCCAAAATATTTTCAACAGGTTATGAATCGATATGTACTGAGGTCAAATGGAAATGTAATTCAGCTCATTGTGATTTAATTTTGATTAACAAGGATGAACGGGTCCCAACTAGTTTTAAACGAGTGATTGAGGTAGTCATTGTCTAACTGTACACGTAACAGCTTTGCATTGACATATATAGTACTGGGGAGGGATAGTTGAGAGGAAGTTTAATAAGTAAACTCAAATGTATTTAAGAAATTCCAACTAACGTAGCTGGCTAGTCCTTTTTCTTTCTTTTCCAAATAACATAGTAGGCTAGTCATATGCCTTGATTCATTGCCCTACCAAACATTATCCCAGCCATTTGTTACCCTGGCCTAAATCGTTAGCTCCCTCTCTCCCTCTCAGGCTCACCCTTCTCATCGATGTCTGAATTTTTATCCTCTTTCATCAATCCCGTCATTTGTTACCCTGTCCTAATTAAAAGATTCCTTTTTATGATTCCTATCTGCCTTCATTCATTGCCCTTTGCCTTTAAATCATTTCCTCCCACAACCACCAATTAGCTATCCATTCTCTGATTCACCATCTAGCTCAAACCTACCCACTGGGTTCAGATCTCTCTCTCTCTCTCTCTCTCAGTGTTGTGAAGGCTAGCTAGCTACCAAGATGCCTCAAACAATACCGAGTTTCACCAGCTCAGTGAGGCTCAAGTACGTGAAACTTGGCTATCGATATCTTGTGAACAATTTGCTCACTGTTTTGTTCATACCCATCATGGCTGGGCTCCTTTTAGAGGTACTTCGGTTGGGGCCGGATGAGATATTCAGACTCTGGAATTCCCTCGAGCTTGATCTGGTACACATTCTTTGCTCAGGTTTCTTGATCATTATTATCGTTACGGTATACTTGATGTCCAGGCCTCGACACATTTACCTCGTCGACTTCTCTTGCTTCAAACCCTTGGGCACCTTGCGAGCACCACTCACCACCTTCGTCGAACACGGTAGGATTATAAAAGGCCCTGATAGCAAGGCCGTCCAGTTCTCACTGAAAATTTTCGAGCGCTGCGGCCTCGGTGACGAGACTTGCGTTCCCCCCGCCCTTAGGTACATTCCCCCGGCCCTCACCATAGCCAACAGCCGAGAGGAGGCTGAGCTTGTTATATTCTCCGCCATTGATTCACTCCTCGAAAAGACAGGGGTCAAGCCCAAGAGCATCGACATTCTAATCCTCAACTGTAGCATTTTCTCCCCAACACCGTCGTTGACAGCGATGATTGTCAACAAGTACAAGATGAGGGGAGATATAAAGAGCTTTAACCTCTCCGGAATGGGTTGCAGTGCCGGGATGATATCCATCGGTTTAGCTCGAGACTTGTTACAAGTCCATCCCAACTCTTATGCACTGGTTGTGAGCACCGAGATCATAACCTACAGTGGTTACTACGGGGAACAGCCATCGATGATGCTCCCCAACTGTATATTTCGAATGGGAAGTGCTGCTCTCCTTCTCTCCAACATGAGGAAAGAGAGGTCACGGGCTAAATACCGTTTGTTTCATGTAATCCGCACCCATAAAGGTGCCGACGACACGGCTTATCGCTGTGTGTACCAAGAAGAAGACCCAGACGGATTTAAGGGCGTATCTCTATCCAAGGATATCACGATGGTGGCCGGTCAGGCTCTCAAGTCCAACATTACTACCATCGGACCACTTGTGCTTCCTGCATCGGAGCAGCTCCTGTTCGTCCTCACCCTTGTCGGCCGAAAACTCTTCGAGCGCAAGTGGAAGCCTTACATTCCTGACTTCAAGCAGGCCTTCGACCACTTCTGCATCCATGCCGGAGGCCGTGCCGTGATCGACGAGCTAGAGAAGTACCTCAATCTTTCTGCTGAGGACGTGGAGGCCTCAAGGATGACGCTCCACCGATTCGGAAATACCTCGTCATCGTCCATCTGGTACGAACTTAGTTACATTGAAACCAAGGGCAGGATGAAGAAGGGAGACCGCATCTGGCAGATAGGATTCGGAAGTGGGTTCAAGTGCAATAGCGTTGTCTGGAAGTGCAACCGAAATATTCGGCCACCAGTGGACAGTCCGTGGTCTGAATGCATCCACAGGTACCCCGTCAAAATTCCTGATGTCGTCAAGATTATTTAGTGCGAATGTATCCACAGATGTGTATTCAATATTATAATTAACTCTCTCTCTCTCTATCTATCTATCAAGCTGTAAAATAGTAGATCTATCTATCTGTCAAGCTGTAAAATAGTAGATCAGAGAATCCATCAGTAGGGTCGCTTCGATGCTTAAGTCAGTTATATAATGTGGATGCGAGTTGAATACTTGAATGCTTGAATGCTAGTGAGTAAATAATCACGTTTTCCTTTGTCTTGGGGTTTGATGTCCTTATATAGTGTAGTAGTTGTAGACCTTACGAAAGAGTTTCGGGATTTTCGGGTTGTGCGGATAAGATCTGTTTCGTTTTTGAATGAGTGCAATGTGTCAGTTGATAAGGTTTATCGCTTTTCTTCGATTCAGGCGGAGCTAGGATGAATCTTGTCGTGATCCCAAAAAATTCGGGGTTCGTTGGGAAGGTCTTTAAAGTCGATTACGTGGCATTTTGGCTCTTTAACTACGAATTGGTACTTCAATTCTTTAGTCTCAAACTGAATTGGGTGTCGAGGTATTTTTATGCCGAGATAGTTTTTTGGGCCGAAGTGACTGAATACCTAAATTCTAATTGTCACAGACTGGGTTCCTTTAGCTGAATTGTCACCTCTCGAACAGATCACGTCTACATGACCCCATCTTACTAAATCGTGCCAAATCACCCTTATATTCAGATCATGAGATGTTGGTTGCCTAAAGCCTTGACCAGTAATAAAATTTGATCTAAACCATGCTTTCTCCCCAACGAAGAGATGCGAAGTTTCTGCAACGAATGCAGTCTCTCCAACTACGAGACGAGGAATTAATGTGCGGGCATACGGTTCAATTCAAATCGTCAGGAAGTGGACCAATCATGAAACACCGTGACAGGTGACATTAATATAATAAGCTAACTACTAGTTCCTGACTTTCTTCAAAATAGCAAGCAAGTCAAGCCAATGTCTCCAACCTACAAGTGTTTCTATTCTATCTTTGCTGTGTCAAACGATTAATGCTTTGGTAGAGTTAGAGGGGAGACTGATACATTATAAATGCAGTAGCTTTTAACACCCTATAGGGTCTTTGCTCGGTTGCGAGCATTGCTAGAGATTTGGGATCTATAATTTGGCCTTGAATTTTAAAAAATATCCTATTTTTATCAAAGGTGATTTCAAACTTGTCATTTTCTGTCTTAAGCAGAAGATCCCAACACATCATTAATAACTACATCAAGCTAAAGGATGAGTTTCGAAGAGGTCTGGCTGATAAGCATATCTATCGGGAGGCAAATCAGGCGGCTGATTGGCTGGCTCACAAACCCTATTTGCTCCTTCAGCGTCTGTTAATCTTAGTTTAGCTTCTCTTCCTTTCCCACTTTTTTCTATTTGTATTGATTATGTTTGGGGACGTGCTACCCCCTGCCTTGCGTAGCCCCTTTCGGTTATATCAGAAAAAAAAAGAATAAAACTGTTATGTATGATGCATAGGGAAAACTTTGGCTGTTGAGAGCAAATTTTGGAAACGCTACATTATCATAAGAGTGGATAAATTAGTGATTACCTCCTATTTTATTTTATTTTGGTAAAAAAGAAAAACATGGGTATGAATAGGTGAACGTGCCCAGCCCAAAAATGCTCGCAGCAGCCTATGTTGTTGGCGACCCAACAGCCAAAAGTTATCCCGTGTGCATATGTATGTGTTTGCTTAAGGGAGACAGAGAAGAGGGAAAATAAATGCACTAAAATTTTGTGTCAAGAAGATATTGTAATGCTGATAACTGCGATTTTTGACTCAGTCAATTTCATTAGACAACGTTATGTGGCACTACTAAAGTTTGAAAAAGGACACTTTTGACCCTAAATACAATAGAGTAATGACCCTAAAGTATTTAATTTATTTCATTCAGTTAATTAATTAAACTAAATAAATTATACTAATTAAGATAATTAGGCAAATTAAGCAATTAAATCAGTAAACTGATCAAATTAAATAAAGTAATTTAAAACTGACCCAAAACAAAACCACTTTGGTCACCAATTTTTAGGTTTGCAATATGGTCGTCTGGTCCAAACAAACCAACTCATGACATTTTTAAAGTAAAAAGATAAAGTATAAGTAAAGTAAAAAAAATAATTCAAAAACCATTTACGAGATCGAACAATTTAGTAGTTCAATCGTTTGGGATAGCTGTTTGTTAACCAAGTCAATGTTGTTGTTTTTTTTTTTTTTTCTGAATAATTTCAGGCCAAGAATAAAATGGAATTGGACAATTGACCAGTTCTTGGGTTAAATGGTTCGACCATATAGGTATAAAATGGAACTAGACAATTGACCAGTTCTTGGGTCGAATGGTTCGACCACCTGGGTATAAAATGGAACTAGACAATTGACCAATTCATGGGTAGAATAGTTTGACAGCTTGAAAATTTTAACTTTGTCAACAAACTACTGACGACTAAACTGTTCGATCCAATAAATAGCTTTTGAGTCATTTTTCATTTTTTAAAGTATCATGGGTTGATCAATTCGGACCAAACAATCGAACCACTAAACATCATATTTTAGGGTTATTTTTTATTTGATTACTTTTATTTATTTGTTTTAATTAATTTTGTTTTCTTAATTAATTTAATTGCTTAATTACCTTAATTATTATAATTAATTAATTTAATTAAATAAATTTAATACTTTAGGGTCATTTAATTAGACCTTGAAGTAATTTTCTTAATTAACTTTATTAAATTGGCCCAATTTCAAACTTTAGGGTTAAAAGTGGACTTTTTTAAACTTTAGCAGTGCCACATAATGTTTAACAGATCTATCAGCACCGCATGTTTTTGCATACAATTGTTCTTTTCTCTAAAGTCTGAGGGTTAAAAATGACCCTTTAAATATTTTAGGGTTGAAATTGGCCTTTTAGAGAAATTCAGGGGTTGTTAGAGATAAAAAATCCATGATAATTGTATGAGCGCATGAGGAGAAGGTTATAATATTAAAAGAAATAACAGAAGCATGGGACATGTGTTTGAGGATTGGTCTACAATAACCAAAAGGTTTAAGCTTTTTGATTAAGGCCTTATTTGTTTACCAGTATTTTGTGGGGCGAATTGGTGGTTAATCAGATAATTAATCAATTCTTACGTATTCTTGTGACACTATAAGGCTTTGACAATCGTCCACACTCCTCAGATTAATTAGCCACCCTGGATTTTGTGGAGATTTTGTTCATACTTTATACTGAGAAAACTAAAGAAACAACTTGATCTAATTAATTAGGTTGCACCCTGAAGGATTAATTGATAAAGTTTTTGACCATGGGAATCCGTTCATCCTCACTTATTTTGATTGCATGTAGGTGCAACTTTTCCGGATTTTGTCAAAATTTCAATAGGTCTAACCCGAAACCTAAACATATAATCTGTTAGCTCAGACCAACCTGACTTACACCCCTAGTTGCATGTGACACCAGGTTGCCGAATTGATTGGAATCTCACCTGCATATAAGTGATGGCCCCCCAATCTAAATATATATTAACGGCAAATTAAAGCTTTTCAATTCATTAAATTCACATATTATTTTATTTGAAACGTATTTATGTTACATTTAATTGAGACACACCCAAAAATCAAACCTAGCCACTTGATGACATTATAATTAACTACCTGAGTCAGAATCAGGTTGCCGCTGTTGATATTATTATTAGGCTACACAAGGGAAATAGGTTACCCCGTCATATATATATATATATATATCAAGTATGAACACCTGGTGAAGGCGGAAATCGAATCCAGGCCTTCATTATAAAGAGCGATAAATCTTACTAGCCGAGTCAGTTGGAATGTAGGGAGTAGGGACCCCTATGAGTTTGTCTACTGAATCAGTTGGGAATGGCCGACTGAATGTTTAATGAATGCATATTAAATGCCAAAATCAAGCTTAGCAAGTCGAAGATAGTTGCAAATGAGATCTTGTATGTAATAGCATCTTTGGAGCCTTTATTGCTTAGGCTTTATCCAACTGGCAATTTTCAATAAAGGAATGCATATTCTCCAATCTTTTTCAATTTTATTGACCAAATTTTCCCCCTCTTAAAATCCAAAAAAAGAATGTCCTTCTAGAAAATTGATTTTAAAAGATTAAATTAGTCTCCCTGATTTGCAGGTTAGATGGTAATTTTAGTTGTATTTGTTTTGTATTATTATCATTATTATTGTTATTATTATTTTGTTTGTTTATTGGGCAGGGTAGAATGCATGAGGGAGAGTTTTATAAACTAGGTCTACGGGGCAAGGCGGGCTATGTCATCCTGTCTTGTAATGTGTTATGATTTTGATTTAATAAATTTTTAAAGTGGGTGCCCCTCCACTTGGAGTAAAATTTGGGGCTAACTGCCTAACTCTATACTACTATTAAAAGTGTCAATGAGAGTATGAAACTTTTATTTAAATAAAATACCCTAATTTTTGAATTTGTCCCTCTCATTGTAAGGATATTAATTTAATTTTAACAATTACTTTTCTCCTCCTTTAAATCCCTCTCATTAAGTCTTATATTTAAGGTATTAACTCACATTAACATTCATTAAATCCTATTTTTGACTAAAGTACCCATATTTTTGAATTTGGTCTCTCTAATTGTGAGAGCACAAAATGTAATTTGGACTAATACATTTCTGCTCTTTGTCATCAAGTCTTATATGTAAGTTATTAATTCTCATTCTCCCATTGAATCTTTATATTAATTGATCATGTTAAAAGAAATAAGTTTGACAAAGATTTGTTTTTATTGATGATAGAAATAGAATACAATTTTCAAATCAACCCAAAACTAGAGTTGTTTTTCTATTTGGAGGCAAGTCAATAATTCAATCTGGAATGTATAAATCCTTGATGACATAGTTAAATAATAAACAAATTAAAAAAGATAAAAATACAAAAAATTGTAGAAAACATTTTGGATACATTCTAGCATGCTATATTTATATTAAACAAAAATATGTGTGATAAATAAGAATACTTTTTTCAAACATAGAAATATAAAAAAATTGTAAAAAAATTTTGAAAACATA